ATTCTCGCTTGCAACTTTCATCAGATAACTGAGACCAGGCCACTTTATGTTGGAATGGGGTCCTGGGTGTACACCCACCACCGGAGTGGAAGAATGGCAGGCGCATCTTACAGATGACTAGTCGATGGTCAGAGAGCAGATCAGCTCCACGGTAGGTCCTGGTGTCAAGGACATGGGCTCGCATTCGCTGGTCCGTCACTATGTAGTCCAGCAGATGTTCTTGCTTGGACCCGGCATGCATCCATGATGTTGTGTGGATGCGCCGATGCCGGAACAGCGTGTTGGTAATTACAAGCCCATGGGCTGCACAAAAATCTAGCAGCCTCCTACCGTTGTTATTGAGCTGATCTGGCCCATGCCCTCCGATCACTCCAGACCAGGTGCCAGTATCATGACCAACTCGGGCATTGAAGTCACCCAACATGATGACTCTATCCCGAGGGGCCACTTTAGCCAGCACCTGACAGGAGGTCATAGAAGGCATCTGACTCATCGGCTTTGCCTGCATCCCACCACGGATGTTCATCTTCGGTGGGGGCATAAGTAACCACGACCACCATTCCTCACCTCCGGTTGATGGGAAGGCGAGCCCAAAGTAGCCTGGGGCTTACAGCTTCCCACACCCCACCGCCACGCTCCCACGCCCCCTTCATTCTTTTGTTCAAAAGAAGACCCACACCCTGTTGTTTGGCAGTCCGCTGCCCCGAGTAGAGGACTGTCCACCCCTCATGGTGGCAGGAGCCAGAGCCGGTCCACCAGACCTCCTGAATGCCGCATAGATCCAGGCGGTACCGGTCCAGCTCCCGACAGAGTGGCAGCCTCTCCTCTGCAGTGAGCGTTCGAACATTCCACGTGGCCACCCGTAGTGGCTTTTCGTTGTTTCTGGAGTAGCCCCGAGGGTAGGTATTCAATCTCCTGGCTCCGCCAATTGGGGTTTGGCCAGGAGACGTCATAGACACCTGGCCCCCCAGGGCCTCCGGCACAAGCTTATTTGTTACATATTTCAGTTTAACTCGTGGTTTCGTGGTAATTAATTGAAGGTGGAGAGGTTACCAGCCCCTCGCACCCATCCAGAGCCCCCGTTTAGCCCCTGTGGTGGACACATATGCCATGAGGGAAGGAGCCAATCAAAATTGGATCTCCCCCCCACAGCACTGTCCACGACAGAGTTGCCCGTCCGGCACCGCGAGGAGGTAGGGGGTTGTTTTGCCGGACAGTGACACACACGCAGTGACACACACATACAGTGACACACACAGTTACACTCATACACAGTGACACACACATAGTGACACACACACACAGTCACACTCACACACAGTGACACGCACAGTGACACGCAGTGACACACACAGTGACACGCACAGTGACACACACATTCACAGTGACACACACAGTGACACACACATTCACAGTGACACACAGTGACACACAACCGCCATTCGCCACTAAGTGGCGGTGACGTCACCACGACGCTTGTGCCAGGCCATGTGCACCTTGAGGCCACGTGAAGTGTCGAACGCCCGCGGGCAGGTCACAGGGAAGACCCAGGTGCCACGGGTCGACTGACTGAGATGACTGGCTGATGCACCACCTGTGCCCCCTACTGTGCCAACCTGCTGTGCTTTAGCCACCCGGCGCTCCGCTCGTTGTGAGCGTCGCTCCTCCGCCCTCCGTTGTTGGAGGGCGACTGCCTCCAACTGCCCAGTAGCGTCCTTCACGAGCCTCCTCCACAGAGGCCGATCTTGACACCGCTGGTACCAGTCATCGGCAAGTCCACTCAGCTCCACGTCCTCCTGTACCACATCACTCCATCTCTTCTCTAGCCTGTGCCGCGTCCGTTTAGCCCCCTCGATCCGGCCAAACAAAAGCTGTTTCGGCATGCGGTGGCTGGGCATGCGGGTTACATGACCCAGCCAACGCAGCCTTGCCTGCCGGAACTCACCGATGGGACCTTGCCCAGATCTTTCAAGGATTTTTGAGCTCCTCACACAATCCAGCCTGGTTAAACCCAGGATGGATCGTAGGCAGGCCAGCCTAAATGTTTCCAACCGGCAAAGATGCTCCATTAAGGGGGTCCACGTTTCGCAAGTGTAGAGAAGGGAGGGAATGACCGTGGCCGAGAAGACCTGAAGCTTAGTGCGGAGCGACAGACCAAGTAGCTTCCACACAGTGTTACGCAACCTCTGCTGTTAAACCGGAGCTGGTCATAAGCACACTTCCCAGGTATGGGAAACTCTCCACTCTCTCCACAACTGCCCCATCACCGATTGGGAGTTGTGGGAATGGAGTGTCCGATGGTACAAAATACCCAGGCAGGTGCTTAGTTTTGGTGGGGCTGATGGTAAGGCCCCATCTCTTAGTGGCACGCTCCAGTCTCAGCAGTAGCGTCTCCAACTCCTCCTCTGAATGAGCAGCTATTACCAAATCATCAGCATACATAACGGGGTTGAGCAATAGGGAGCCATCCCTTGACCGCACCGGGCATCGATCAGCCTCCCATTATATCTGTACCAAATGGAGATTCCCCCGGTACAGCTATTGAAGGCTTCACGAACTACGTGGTCAAAATAGATGTTAAATGTGGGAGCCAGAGGACATCCCTATCGCACCCCAAGGTGTACAGGGAATGGCTCCGACTCCCGGCCACGTAGCTTTACCCGGGCCCGCTCACCATCATGAAGGTCCTTAATGATCGTGAGCAGAGGGTCAGGGACTCCAAAAAGCACGAAGAACAACCCAGAGCCCAGGCCTACTGATGGTGTCATAGGCCATGACCAGGTCAATAAAGCAGAGATGTAGGTCTTGTTGGAATTCCCTACACCTCTGCTGTAGCAGACGGACAGAAAATATGGCATCTGTGCAGGACCGCCCTTTCCTGAAACCGCACACACACTCACTCACACACTCACTCACTCACACACTCACACACACACTCACTCACACACTCACATACTCACACACTCACTCACATACTCACACTCACTCACTCACACACTCACTCACACACTCACTAACTTACTCACCCACTCACTCACTCACCCACTCACTCACTCACCCACTCACTCACACACTAACTCACTCACACACTAACTCACTCACCCACCCACTCACTCACACACTCACTCACACACTCACCCACTCACACACTCACACACTCACTCACTCACACACTCACACTCACTCACATACACACTCACATACTCACACACACACTCACACACTCACTAACTCACTCACACACTCACTCACTCACACAGTCACTCACACACTAACTCGCTCACACACTAACTCAGACACTCACTCACACACTCTCACACACACTCACACACACACTCACTCACTAACTCACTCACACACTAACTCACTCACACACTAACTCACTCACTCACACACTCACCCACTCACTCACTCACACACTCACTCACACACTAACTAACTCACACACTCACTCACACACTAACTAACTCACACACTCACTCACACACTCACTAACTCACACACACACTCACTCACACACTAACTCACACTCACACACTCACACACTCGCAGGGCACCGGAGAGACTCCGTGACGACCCTCCCGTGTCTCACCGTGCGTGTCTCACCGTGCGTGTCTCACCGTGCGTGTCTCACCGTGCGTGTCTCACCGTGCGTGTCTCACCGTGCGTGTCTCACCGTGCGTGTCTCACCGTGCGTGTCTCACCGTGCGTGTCTCACGTGAGCAAACCGTGCTCGTGCTGCTGCTGATGGTGGTGGTGGTTGTTGTTGTTTTTATTCAAGGAACGAAGTTGAGAATAAATCAAAACAGGCACGACATTCCGCCGGACTTAGGATCGATCGGTCACGGAGACACAGAGACACCACAGAGACAGAGACACCACAGAGACACGCAGACACACAGAGACGCCAGACACAGAGACACCACAGACACAGAGACACCACAGAGACACGCAGACACACAGAGACACCGCAGACACAGAGACACCAGACACAGAGACACGCAGACACAGAGACACAGACACACAGAGACACACAGAGACACGCAGAGACACCACAGACACAGAGACACAGAGACACAGAGACACCGACACAGAGAAACAGCGACACAGAGACACCAGACACAGAGACACCAGACACAGAGACACCAGACACAGAGACACAGAGAGACAGAGAGACACAGAGACACAGAGAGACACAGAGACACAGAGACACCACAGACACAGAGAGACAGACACACACAGAGACACAGAGACACCACAGACACAGAGACACAGAGACACCAGACACACAGAGACACAGAGACACAGAGAGACACAGAGACACAGATACACCAGACACAGAGACACGCAGAGACACAGAGACACCACAGAGACACCACAGAGACACCGGACACAGAGACACAGAGAGACACAGAGACACGCAGACACACAGAGACACGCAAAGACACAGAGACACACAGAGACACAGAGACACGCAGAACAAAGAGAGACACAGAGACACGCAGAGACACAGAGACACGCAGAGACACAGAGAGACACAGAGAGACAGAGACACACACAGAGAGACACACAGAGACACAGAGACACAGAGACACACACACAGATACACACAGAGACACTGAGACACACACAGAGACACAGAGACACTGAGACACACACAGAGACACAGAGACACTGAGACACACACAGAGACACTGAGACACACACTGAGACACACACAGAGACACAGAGGCACGCAGAGACACAGAGAGACACAGAGACACACACTGAGACACAGAGACACACACTGAGACACAGAGACACAGAGACACACACAGAGACACAGAGACACACACAGAGACACACAGAGACACAGAAACACACAGAGACACAGAGACACACACAGAGACACACACAGAGACACACACAGAGTCTCCGCCCTTACCCCCCCTCACCCCCCCAGCCCCCCCCCCCCCAGCCCCCCCCCCCAGCCCCACCCCCCCCCCCCCCCCCCCGCGTGCTCAGTCTGCGTGTGTTGGAGCGAGCGCCCTGGCGACCTGCGCTAGGCCACAGAAGGCCCAACGCTTCTCCACCACGGCGTCGCCCGCCACCCACTCGTGGTGGAAGAGCCGCGGCACCGAGGACAGCACCGTGTCCAGCTCGCCCGGGGACATCTGGCGCACGCGCACAAAGACAAAGGTCCCCCGTGTGGCCTTAGCGGACTCATCGGGGGCAAGTGCCGCCAGCGAGGAGCGCCTGTGAAGGCCGGAACGGTACACGAGGTGGGTGTGGGGTGGGTGGCCAGCGCCACGCCCGGCCGCCTTTGTCTCCCCCCGGTGGCGATGTTTACTACACACCGCACCACCACCGCTACACCGGGTGCTCATCTGAGGCTGAGTCGACCTAGGGGGAGGATGCCCGGGACCGGTTCAGAGAATCGTCAGCGGTGGTGTTGGCCGTGAGCGGGAATCGAACCCGGGGTCGCCGGGGTTCGTAGCGCAGCGTAGCGCTAACCGCTACACCACTGTTCCCTACTAACACATGCACACAGACACACACACAGAGACGCACACACACGCACTCACACACACACTCACACACACGCACACACACGCGCACACACAAACAAGCACACGTACACACGCACACACACACACGCGCACACACACACGCACACACACACACGCGCACACACACACACACACGCACACACACACACGCACACACACACACACACGCACACACACACACACGCACACACACACACACGCACACACACACGCACACACACACGCACACACACACACGCACACACGCACACACACGCACACACGCACACACGCGTACATACGCACGCACGCACACACACGCACGCACGCACACACACAACAACAACCGCCATTTGCCACTAAGTGGCGGTGACGTCACCACGACGCTTGTGCCAGGACATGTGCACCTTGAGGCCACGTGACTCTACGTATCTCTGTGTGACTCTACGTATCTCTGTGTCACTCTACGTATCTCTGTGTGACTCTACGTATCTCTGTGTGACTCTACGCGTCTCTGTGTCACTCTACGTATCTCCGCGTGACTCTACGTGTCTCTGTGTGACTCTACGTATCTCTGTGTCACTCTACGTAACTCTACGTATCTCTACGTATCTCCGTGTGACTCTACGTATCTCTGTGTGACTCTACGTATCTCTGTGTGACTCTACGTATCTCTGTGTGACTCTACCTATCTCTGTGTGACTCTACGTATCTCTGTGTGACTCCACGTATCTCTGTGTGACCCTACGTATCTCTGTGTGACTCTACGTATCTCTGTGTGACTCTACGTGTCTCTGACTCTACGTATCTCTGTGTGAATCTACGTATCTCTGTGTGACTATACGTATCTCTGTGTGACCCTACGTATCTCTGTGTGACTCTACGTATCTCTGTGTGACTCTACGTATCTCCGTGTGACTCTACGTGTCTCCGTGTGACTCTACGTATCTCCGTGTGACTCTACGTATCTCCGTGTGACTCTACGTATCTCTGTGTGACTCTACGTATCTCTGTGTGACTCTACGTATCTCTGTGTGACTCTACGTATCTCTGTGTGACTCTACGTATCTCTGTGTGACTCTACGTATCTCTGTGTGACTCTACGTATCTCTGTGTGACTCTACGTATCTCTGTGTGACTCTACGTATCTCTGTGTGACTCTACGTATCTCTGTGTCACTCTACGTATCTCTGTGTCACTCTACGTATCTCTGTGTGACTCTACGTATCTCTGTGTGACTCTACGTATCTCTGTGTCACTCTACACACTGTGTGACTCTACATATCTCTGTGTGACTCTACATATCTCTGTGTGACTACGTATCTCTCCGTGACTCTACGAATCTCTCCGTGACTCTACGTATCTCTGTGTGACTCTACGTATCTCTGTGACTCTACGTATCTCTATGTGACTCTACGTATCTCTGTGTGACTCTACGTATCTCTGTGACTCTACGTATCTCCGCGTGACTCTACGTATCTCTGTGTGACTCTACGTATCTCCGTGTGACTCTACGCATCTCTGTGTGACTCTACGTATCTCTGTGTGACCCTACGAATCTCTGTGTGACCCTACGTATCTCTGTGTGACTCTACGTATCTCTGTGTGACTCTACGTATCTCTGTGCGACTCTACGTATCTCTGTGTGACTCTACGTATCTCTGTGTCACTCTACGTATCTCTGTGTGACTCTACGTATCTCTGTGTGACTCTACGTATCTCTGTGTGACTCTACGTATCTCTGTGTGACTCTATGTATCTCGGTGTGACTCTACGTATCTCTGTGTGACTCTACGTATCTCTGTGTGACTCTATGTATCTCGGTGTGACTCTACGTATCTCTGTGTGACTCTACGTATCTCTGTGTGACTCTACGTATCTCTGTGTGACTCTACGTATCTCTGTGTGACTCTACGTATCTCTGCGTGACTCCACGTATCTCTGTGTGACTCTACGTATCTCTGTGTGATTCTACGTATCTCTGCGTGACTCCACGTATCTCTGCGTGACTCCACGTATCTCTGTGTGACTCTACGTATCTCTGTGTGACTCTACGTATCTCTGTGTGACTCTACGTATCTCTGTGTGAATCTACGTATCTTTGCGTGACTCCACGTATCTCTGTGTGACTCTACGTATCTGTGACTCTACGTATCTCCGCGTGACTCTACGTATCTCTGTGTGACTTTACGTAACTCTGTGTGACTCTACGTATCTCTGTGTGACTCTACGTATCTCCGCGTGACTCTACGTATCTCTGTGTGCCTCTACGTATCTCTACGTATCTCTGTGTGACTCTACGTATCTCTATGTGACTCTACGTATCTCTGTGTGACTCTACGTATCTCTGTGTGACTTTTAGTATCTCTGCGTGACTCTACGTATCTGTGTCACTCTACGTATCTCTGTGTGACTCTACGTATCTGTGTCACTCTACGTATCTCTGTGTGACTCTACTTATCTCTATGTGACTGTACGTATCTCCGTGTGACTCTACGTATCTCTGTGTGACTCTACTTATCTCTATGTGACTCTACGTATCTATGTGTGACTCTATGTATCTCTGTGTGACTCTACGCATCTCTGTGTGACTCTACGTATCTCTGTGTGACTCTACGTATCTATGTGTGACTCTATGTATCTCTGTGTGACTCTACGTATCTCTGTGTGACTCTACGTATCTATGTGTGACTCTATGTATCTCTGTGTGACTCTACGTATCTCTGTGTGACTCTACGTATCTCTGTGTGACTCTACGTATCTCTGCGTGACTACGTATCTCTGTGTGACTCTACGTATCTCTGTGCGACTCTACGTATCTCTGTGCGACTCCACGTATCTCTGCGCGACTCTACGTATCTATGTGTGACTCTACGTATCTCCGTGTGACTCTACGTATCTCTGTGTAACTAAAAGTGTCTCCGTGTGACTCTACCTATCTCTGTGTGACTCTACGTATCTCTGTGTCACTCTACGTATCTCTGTGTGACTCTACGTATCTCTGTGTGACTCTACGTATCTCTGTGTGACTCTACGCATCTCTGTGTCACTCTACGTATCTCTGTGTGACGCTACGTATCTCTGTGTCATTCTACGTATCTCTGTGTGACCCTACGTATCTTTGTGTGACGCTACGTATCTCTGTGTGACTCTACGTATCTCTGTGTGACTCTACGTATCTCTGCGTGACTCTATGTATCTCTGTGTAACTCTACGTATCTCTGTGTCACTCTACGTATCTCTGTGTGACTCTACGTATCTCTGCGTGACTCTACGTATCTCTGTGTGACTCTACGTATCCCCGCGTGACTCTACGCATCTCTGTGTGACTCTACGTATCTCTGTGTCACTCTACGTATCTCTGTGTGACTCTACGTATCTCCACGTGACTCTACGTATCTCTGTGTGACTCTACGTATCTCTGTGTGAATCTACGTATCTCTGTGTGACTCTACCTATCTCTGTGTGACTCTACGTATCTCCGTGTGACTCTACGTATCTCTGCGTGACTCTACGTATCTCTGTGTGACTCTACGTATCTCTGTGTGACTCTACGTATCTCCGTGTGACTCTACGTATCTCTGTGTAACTAAAAGTGTCTCCGTGTGACTCTACCTATCTCTGTGTGACTCTACGTATCTCCGCGTGACTCTACGTATCTCCGTGTGACTCTACGTATCTCCGTGTGACTCTACGCATCTCCGTGTGACTCTACGTATCTCTGTGTGACCCTACGAATCTCTGTGTGACTCTACGTATCTCTGTGTGACTCTACGTATCTCTGTGTGACTCTACGTATCTCTGTGCGACTCTACGTATCTCTGTGCGACTCTACGTATCTCTGTGTGACTCTACGTATCTCTGTGTGACTCTACGTATCTCTGTGTGACTCTACGTATCTCTGTGTGACTCTACGTATCTCTGTGTGACTCTACGTATCTCTGTGTGACTCTACGTATCTCTGTGTGATCCTACGTATCTCTGTGTGACTCTACGTATCTCTGTGTCACTCTACGTATCTCTGTGTGACTCTACGTATCTCTGCGTGACTCTACGTATCTCTGTGTGACTCTACGTATCCCCGCGTGACTCTACGCATCTCTGTGTGACTCTACGTATCTCTGTGTCACTCTACGTATCTCTGTGTGACTCTACGTATCTCCACGTGACTCTACGTATCTCTGTGTGACTCTACGTATCTCTGTGTGAATCTACGTATCTCTGTGTGACTCTACCTATCTCTGTGTGACTCTACGTATCTCCGTGTGACTCTACGTATCTCTGCGTGACTCTACGTATCTCTGTGTGAATCTACGTATCTCTGTGTGACTCTACGTATCTCCGTGTGACTCTACGTATCTCTGTGTAACTAAAAGTGTCTCCGTGTGACTCTACCTATCTCTGTGTGACTCTACGTATCTCCGCGTGACTCTACGTATCTCCGTGTGACTCTACGTATCTCCGTGTGACTCTACGCATCTCCGTGTGACTCTACGTATCTCTGTGTGACCCTACGAATCTCTGTGTGACTCTACGTATCTCTGTGTGACTCTACGTATCTCTGTGTGACTCTACGTATCTCTGTGCGACTCTACGTATCTCTGTGCGACTCTACGTATCTCTGTGTGACTCTACGTATCTCTGTGTGACTCTACGTATCTCTGTGCGACTCTACGTATCTCTGTGTGACTCTACGTATCTCTGTGTGACTCTACGTATCTCTGTGTGACTCTACGTATCTCTGTGTGATCCTACGTATCTCTGTGTGACTCTACGTATCTCTGTGTCACTCTACGTATCTCTGTGTGACTCTACGTATCTCTGTGTGACTCTACGTATCTCTGCGTGACTCTACGTATCTCTGCGTGACTCTACGTATCTCTGTGTCCCTCTACGTATCTCTGTGTGACTCTACGTATCTCTGTGTGACTCTACGTATCTCTGTGTCACTCTACGTATCTCTGTGTGACTCTACGTATCTCTGTGTGACTCTACGTATCTCTGACTCTACGTATCTCTGTGTGACTCTACGTATCTCTGCGTGACTCTACATATCTCTGTGTGACTCTACGTATCTCTGTGTGACTCTACGTATCTCTGTGTGACTCTACGTATCTCTGTGTGACTCTACGTATCTCTGTGTGACTCTACGTATCTCTGTGTGACTCTACGTATCTCTGTGTGACTCTACGTATCTCTGCGTGACTTTACGTATCTCCGTGTGACTCTACGTGTCTCTGTGTGACTCTACGTATCTCTGTGTGACTCTACGTATCTCTGTGTGACTCTACGTATCTCCGTGTGACTCTACGTATCTCTGTGTGACTCTACATATCTCTGTGTGACTCTACGTATCTCTGTGTGACTCTACGTATCTCTTTGTGACTCTACGTATCTCCACGTGACTCTACGTATCTCTGTGTGACTCTACGTATCTCTGTGTGAATCTACGTATCTCTGTGTGACTCTACCTATCTCTGTGTGACTCTACGTATCTCCGTGTGACTCTACGTATCTCTGCGTGACTCTACGTATCTCTGTGTGAATCTACGTATCTCTGTGTGACTCTACGTATCTCCGTGTGACTCTACGTATCTCTGTGTAACTAAAAGTGTCTCCGTTTGACTCTACCTATCTCTGTGTGACTCTACGTATCTCCGCGTGACTCTACGTATCTCCGTGTGACTCTACGTATCTCCGTGTGACTCTACGCATCTCCGTGTGACTCTACGTATCTCTGTGTGACCCTACGAATCTCTGTGTGACTCTACGTATCTCTGTGTGACTCTACGTATCTCTGTGTGACTCTACGTATCTCTGTGTGACTCTACGTATCTCTGTGCGACTCTACGTATCTCTGTGTGACTCTACGTATCTCTGTGTGACTCTACGTATCTCTGTGTGACTCTACGTATCTCTGTGTGACTCTACGTATCTCTGTGTGACTCTACGTATCTCTGTGTGACTCTACGTATCTCTGTGTGATCCTACGTATCTCTGTGTGACTCTACGTATCTCTGTGTCACTCTACGTATCTCTGTGTGACTCTACGTATCTCTGTGTGACTCTACGTATCTCTGCGTGACTCTACGTATCTCTGTGTGACTCTACGTATCTCTGTGTCCCTCTACGTATCTCTGTGTGACTCTACGTATCTCTGTGTGACTCTACGTATCTCTGTGTCACTCTACGTATCTCTGTGTGACTCTACGTATCTCTGTGTGACTCTACGTATCTCTGACTCTACGTATCTCTGTGTGACTCTACGTATCTCTGCGTGACTCTACATATCTCTGTGTGACTCTACGTATCTCTGTGTGACTCTACGTATCTCTGTGTGACTCTACGTATCTCTGTGTGACTCTACGTATCTCTGTGTGACTCTACGTATCTCTGTGTGACTCTACGTATCTCTGTGTGACTCTACGTATCTCTGCGTGACTTTACGTATCTCCGTGTGACTCTACGTGTCTCTGTGTGACTCTACGTATCTCTGTGTGACTCTACGTATCTCTGTGTGACTCTACGTATCTCCGTGTGACTCTACGTATCTCTGTGTGACTCTACATATCTCTGTGTGACTCTACGTATCTCTGTGTGACTCTACGTATCTCTTTGTGACTCTACGTATCTCCGTGTGACTCTACGTATCTCTGTGTGACTCTACGTATCTCTGTGTAACTCTACGTATCTCTGTGTGACTCTACGTATCTCTGTGTGACTACGTATCTCTGTGTGACTCTACGTATCTCTGTGTGACTCTACGTATCTCTGCGTGACTCTACGTATCTCCGTGTGACTCTACGTATCTCTGTGTGACTCTACGTATCTCTGTGTCACTCTACGTATCTCTGTGTGGCTCTACGTGTCTCTGTGTGACTCTACGTATCTCTGTGTGACTCTACGTATCTCTGCGTGACTACGTATCTCCGTGTGACTCTACGTATCTCTGTGTGACTCTACGTATCTCTGTGTGACTCTACGTATCTCTGTGTGACTCTACGTATCTCTGTGTGACTCTACGTATCTCTGTGTGACTCTACGTATCTCTGTGTGACTCTACGTATCTCCGTGTGACTCTACGTATCTCCGTGTGACTCTACGTATCTCCGTGTGACTCTACGTATCTCTGTGTGACTCTACGTATCTCTGTGTGACTCTAGGTATCTCTGTGTGACTCTACGTATCTCTGTGTGACTCTACGTATCTCTGTGTGACCCTACGTATCTCTGTGTGACTCTACGTATCTCTGTGTAACTCTACGTATCTCTGTGTCACTCTACGTAACTCTGTGTGACTCTACGTATCTCTGTGTGACTCTACGTATCTCTGTGTGACTCTACGTATCTCTGTGTGACTCTACGTATCTCTGTGTGACTCTACGTATCTCTGTGTCACTCTACGTATCTCTGCGTGACTACGTATCTGTGACTCTACGTATCTCTGTGTGACTCGCTCACCTTGATGTCGAGTGCCCGCAGGTAGACCCGCACGCCCTCCACGCTGACCCCACACGGATGGATCTGGAGGAAGGTCATCAGCAGGCCTGGGTGGGGGGGGGAGAGAGATTCGGCACGTGACGTTGTGTGTTACGTTGTGTGTCACGTTGTGTGTGACGTTGTGTGTTACGTTGTGTGTTACGTTGTGTGTTACGTTGTGTGTATGGTGTGTGTCACGTCGTGTGTGACGTCGTGTGTCACGTCGTGTGTGACGTTGTGTGTCACGTTGTGTGTTACGTTGTGTGGTACGTTGTGTGTTACGTTGTGTGTTACGTTGTGTGTCAGGTTGTGTGTTACGTTGTGTGGTACGTTGTGTGTTACGTTGTGTGTTACGTTGTGTGTTACGTTGTGTGTTACGTTGTGTGTGACGTTGTGTGGTACGTTGTGTGTATGGTGTGTCACGTTGTGTGTGACGTTGTGTGTTACGTTGTGTGTTACGTTGTGTGTCAGGTTGTGTGTCAGGTTGTGTGTTACGTTGTGTGTTACGTTGTGTGTTACGTTGTGTGTGACGTTGTGTGTGCCATTGTGTGTATGGTGTGTGTTAAGTTGTGTGTTACGTTGTGTGTTACGTTGTGTTACGTTGTGTGTTACGTTGTGTGTTACGTTGTGTGTTACGTTGTGTTACGTTGTGTGTATGGTGTGTGTCACGTTGTGTGTTACGTTGTGTGTTACGTTGTGTGTTACGTTGTGTGGTACGTTGTGTGGTACGTTGTGTGTCACGTTGTGTGTTACGTTGTGTGTTACGTTGTGTGTTACGTTGTGTTACGTTGTGTGTTACGTTGTGTGTTACGTTGTGTGTACGTTGTGTGTTATGTTGTGTGTGTGACGTTGTGTGTCACGTTGTGTGTATGGTGTGTGTCACGTTGTGTGTTACGTTGTGTGTTACGTTGTGTGTCACGTTGTGTGTATGGTGTGTGTTACGTTGTGTGTATAGCGTAGTGTAAAGCGTCGTGTATAATGTAGTGTATAGCGTAGTGTGTAGTGTATAGTGTAGTGTATAGTGTATAGCGTTGTGTATAGCCTCGTGTATAGTGTATAGCGTAGTGTATAGTGTAGTGTGTAGTGCATAGTGTAGTGCATAGTGTATAGCGTAGTGTATAGCGTATAGTGTAGTGTATAGTGTATAGTGTAGTGTGTAGTGCATAGTGTAGTGTATAGTGTATAGCGTAGTGTATAGTGTATAGCGTTGTGTATAGTGTATAGCCTAGTGTATAGTGTATAGCGTAGTGTATAGTGTAGTGTATAGTATATAGCGTTGTGTATAGTGTAGTGTCTAGTGTATAGCGTAGTGTATAGTGTATAGCGTAGTGTATAGTGTAGTGTGTAGTGCATAGTGTAGTGTATAGTGTATAGCGTAGTGTATAGTGTATAACGTTGTGTATAGCCTAGTGTATAGTGTATAGCGTAGTGTATAGTGTAGTGTCTAGTGTATAGCGTAGTGTATAGTGTATAGCGTAGTGTATAGTGTAGTGTGTAGTGTATAGCGTAGTGTATAGTGTATAGCGTAGTGTGTAGCGTAAAAGCATCATTGTCATCGTCGTCATCATCGTCGTCACCATCACTGTTGCCGTCACCATCGCCGTCACTATCACCATCACCGTCACCATCACCATCACCGTCGCCATCACCGTCGCCATCACCATCGCCGTCACCATCACTGTCACCATCGCCGTCACCATCACTGTCACTATCGCCGTCACCATCACCATCACCGTCACCGTCACCATCACCGTCGCCGTCGCCACCATCGCTTTCACCGTCGCCGTCACCGTCGCCGTCGTCATCACCGCCTTCACCATCACGTACCGATCAGCAGCGCCTCCCTCTCCGAGCGCAAACCATCGGCGGTCGTCCTGGCCGCGGCCACGGCCGTGCCGGCGGTGGCGGCGGCCGTGCCGGCGGCTGCGGCGGCGGCGGCCGTGCCGGCGGCTGCGGCGGCGGTGGCGGCCGTGCCGCCGGCGGTTTTCTGCGCCTCCAGGCTCTCCGCACCGGCCACCGCCACCATCGCCTCGTCCACCGTCTAAGCGACGCGCGCACCAACGCACAGACAAAGGAGACGCCCACCAATGACGTCACGCGCCTGGGGGTGGGTGGGGGGTGACGAGGGTGGGGGGGGGCGGGGTTTGAGTGACGTGACGTCACGTCAAAACGCGCAGCTTTGAAGGAATGTAAGCAACGCGTCCCATTTGTATTTAAAGCTTTCGTGACTGCGAGGATTCATCTTCTTTGGTTCTTTCGGTAAAGTCACCACCACCACGTAGAACGAGAATAAAATAATACAATTGATTAAATAAAATAACACAATGATATTCTCACGACGTTTCGGCCACAACACAAGCGGCCTTCATCAGGTGAAGGGGCGAGACTGTCTGGAGGACAGCGCTGGAGTGAAAAAGCCACGCGCTGTCCTACCAGACAGTCTCGTCCCTTCACCTGATGAAGGCCGCTTGTGTTGTGGCCGAAACGCCGTGAGAATATCATTGTGTTATTTTATTTTATCAATTTTGTTATTTTATTCTCATTCTACGTGGTGGTGACTTTACCGAAAGAACCAAAGAAGATCAACGCGTCCCACTTAATTAAACAGAATTGTTATGGCAACGCTAGTTTGGATACATTTTCATTATTAACTATTTGATTACTTAAATTTACTCAGGTCACCTTTTATTTAGTCCATGAAGTAGCATTTCAGTTCTCCGTGGGAGAATGGAGAAGCATGAATTTTCGTGAATTTTTTTAATGATCGTCATTAAACATTTTGATGTTAATTATTCTACCGGGGCTTTTCATTCTGTGGAATGAACACGTGATTGTTCCAATTGTACTCTACATTATGCTTCGTTCTACTACGAAATTTTAAGTGTTTTTTTTTACAGTTATAATTACTTTTAATATTTTATAATTCTAAGAGAATTTCCATATAATATTCTGAACATCTGCAGTTTTAGTTTGACGTTGAATACTTTCAAGCGAATTTTACGCTAAATTTCAGCTTTCCAGCGCCTAAGTTTCAAGTACTTATTTTATAGTGAAAATTACTTTTAATATTTTATAATTATAAGAGAATTTCCATATAATATTCTGAACATCTGCAGTTTTAGTTTGACGTTGAATATTTTCAAGCGAATTTTATGCTAAATTTCAGCTTTCCAGCGCCTAAGTTTCAAGTATTTTTGTTACAGTGAAAATAACTTTTAATATTTTATAATTATAGGAGAATTTCCATATAATATTCTGAACATCTGCAGTTTTAGTTTGACGTTGAATATTTTCAAGCGAATTTTACGCTAAATTTCAGCTTTCCAGCGCCTAAGTTTCAAGTAATTTTGTTACAGTGAAAATTACTTTTAATATTTTATAATTATAGGAGAATTTCCATATAATATTGTGAACATTTGCAGTTTTAGTTTGACCTGGAATATTTTCAAGCGAATTTTACGCTAAATTTCAGCTTTCCAGCGACCTCGATTTTAATAAATGTATTCTCCTACAACATCAGAGTGCACATTAAATATGCACTACTACTACGATGACGATAGTTTAAAGCGTTTTGAAGCGCGTTTTATTTTCAAAATGGAAATATAGTTTTTTTTGTTGGGGGGGGGAGGGGGGTAGAGCTTTGTGACGTCATATTGGAGGGGGGAGGGGGGTCTGACTTTCTGTGACGCCGCGTGACGAGGGGGGGGAGAGGGGGGGAGAGGGGGGGGGGAGAGGGGGGGGGGAGAGGGGTGGGCAAAATAGCGTGACGTCATTTATGGACTGTCCCTGAGGTCCACCACCGTGTAGCCTCTGCATCACCGCCGTGGAACACGACCGTGGCGGCGGTGGTGGTGGTGGCGGCGGTGGTGGTGGTGGTGGCGGCGGTGGTGGTGGCGGTGGTGGTGGTGGCGGTGGTGGTGGCGGTGGTGGTGATGGTGGTGGTGGTGGTGGCGGTGGCGGTGGCGGTGGTGGTGGTGGTGGTGATGATGGTGGTGGTGGTGGCGGTGGTGGTGGTGGTGGTGGCAGTGGTGGTGGTGGTGGTGGCGGTGGTGGTGGTGCCGGCACCGCGCCCGGCCATGTTTTTTACACGCCGTGCCAGGCCGGTTCAGCCAATCATCAGCGGCGCTTTGCTGTGAGCGGGGGAATCGAACTCGGGGCGCCGGGTTTGCCGGGGCAGCGCCAACCGGTACGTTGTCACCGCTCACCACACACACATACGTACACACGTACACACTCACACGTACACACAATCAGAGATTTGTTCATGAAGAAATTCAGATCTACAAACACAGACACAATTTCAACCGAGAGGATGGTTTCAAATTAAGCAACCATTGGAAGGATGTTCTAAATCGAACCAAACATTAAACTAATTTCAATGGTACAGTATATTTTTCAAGTAGTGGTACCCCAAACTTTCGCAGCTCTTATAAATTCCCCCTTTTCACACCATCAATAGGTAAACTCCCCCTCCCCCCCTTTCCCCCCCCCCCCCACGCTAAACGGCAAGTCCACCGGCACGTACACCACCTCTTTCCTAAAATCCGCCAATCAAATGCTATTTTTTATGCTAATTTCTTTGTCAGAACACCTTGTTTGCTCGCACACAGTTTAAAGGTCCGCTGTCTGAGTGTGGTTGTGTTTCACTGAATTCTCCTGTTTGATGAGTACTAGGTGCCTCGGTGAATGTATATGCTCTAACTTTAACACAGCTATTTCTGTGACCAGTTACAAGCTAATCACTCAGCTATTTCAATGCTAAATTCGATGCTAATTCCTTTGTCAAGGAGTACCTCTGCGGATGTATATACTTTAACTTAGCCATTTCAATGAGCCATTTCAATGCTAAATTATATGCTAATTCCTTTGTCAAGGCGCTTGGTCTTTTTCTTCTCACACAGCTTAAAGGTCGTGATCTGAGCGTGGCTTCTTCCACTCCAGCGCTGTCCTCCAGACAGTCTCGTCCCCTTCACCTGATGAAGGCCGCTTGTGTTGTGGCCGAAACGTCGTGAGAATTTTGTTATTTTATTTTCACCTACGTGGTGACTTTACCCAATAGAACCAAAGAGTACACTCACACGTACACACTCACACGCGTACACACGTACACACGTACACACTCACACGTACACACGTACACACGTACACTCACACGTACACACGTACACGCGTAAACACACACACACTCACACACGTACACAGGTACACGCGTAAACACACATACATATACGCGTATACACACTCACACGTACACACGTACATGCGTAAACACGAATACACATACACACGTACACACACACTCACACACGTACACGCGTAAAAACACACACATACACGCGTAAACACACACGCTACGAGTCTCTGTGCATCTCTATGAGTCTCTATGGGCCTCTGTGCATCTCTATGAGTCTCTGTGGGTCTCTGTGGGTCTCTGTGGGCCTCTGTGGGCCTCTGTGGGTCTCTGTGGGTCTCTGTGCATCTCTGTGGGTCTCTATGTGTCTCTGTGGGTCTCTATGAGTCTCTATGTGTCTCTGTGTATCTCTGTGGGTCTTTGTGGGTCTCTGTGGGTGTTTGTGGGTCTCTGTGGGTCTCTATGGGTCTCTATGGGTCTCTGTGGGTCTCTATGCATCTCTTTGGGTCTCTGTGGGTCTCTGTGTGTCTCTGTGTGTCTCTGTGGGTCTCTGTGGGTCTCTGTGGGTCTCTATGGGTCTCTATGGGTCTCTGTGGGTCTCTATGCATCTCTTTGGGCCTCTGTGGGTCTCTGTGTGTCTCTGTGTGTCTCTGTGGGTCTCTGTGGGTCTCTGTGGGTCTGTGTGGGTCTCTGTGGGTCTCTGTGGGTTCACTATGCATCTCTGTGTGTCTCTGTGGGTCTGTGTGGGTCTCTGTGGATCTCTATGCATTTCTATGCATCTCTGTGTGTCTCTGTGTGTCTTTGTGGGTCTGTGTGGGTCTCTGTGAGTCTCTATGCATCTCTATTCATCTCTGTGTGTCTCTGTGGGTCTGTGTGGGTCTCTGTGGGTCTCTGTGCATCTCTGTGGGTCTCTGTGAGTCTCTATGCATCTCTATTAATCTCTGTGTGTCTCTGTGGGTCTGTGTGGGTCTCTGTGGGTATCTGTGGGTCTCTATGCATCTCTATTCATCTCTGTGTGTCTCTGTGGGTCTCTGTGGGTCTCTGTGCGTCTCTGTGGGTCTCTGTGCGTCTCTGTGGGTCTGTGTGGGTCTCTGTGAGTCTCTATGCATCTCTGTGTGTCTCTATGCATCTCTGTGGGTCTCTGTGGGTCTCTGTGGGTCTCTGTGGGTCTCTGTGGGTCTCTGTGTGTCTCTGTGGGTCTCTATGCATCTCTATGCATCACTGTGAGTCTCTGTGGGTCTCTGTGAGTCTCTGTGTGTCTCTGTGGGTCTCTGTGAGTCTCTGTGGGTCTATGTGGGTCTCTATTCATCTCTGTGGGTCTCTGTGTGTCTCTGTGGGTCTCTTTGGGTCTCTGTGGGTCTCTGTGGGTCTCTATGCATCTCTATGCATCTCTGTGGGTCTCTGTGGGTCTCTGTGTGTCTCTGTGTGTCTCTGTGTGTCTCTGTGGGTCTCTGTGGGTCTGCGTGTGTCTCTGTGAGTCTCTGTGGGTCTCTGTGGGTCTCTGTGAGTCTCTGTGAGTCTCTGTGGGTCTGTGTGGGTCTCTGTGAGTCTCTATGCATATCTGTGTGTCTCTGTGGGTCTCTGTGAGTCTCTATGGGTCTCTGTGGGTCTCTGTGGGTCTCTGTGAGTCTCTATGGGTCTCTGGGGGTCTCTGTGAGTCTCTGTGGGTCTCTATGCATCTCTATGCATCTCTGTGGGTCTCTGTGGGTCTCTGTGTGTCTCTGTGAGTCTCTGTGGGTCTCTGTAGGTCTGTGGGTCTCTGTGTGTCTCTGTGGGTCTCTGTGTGTCTCTGTGGGTCTCTATGGGTCTCTGTGTGTCTCTGTGGGTCTCTGTGTGTCTCTGTGAGTCTCTATGGGTCTCTGTGGGTCTCTGTGGGTCTCTGTGAGTCTCTATGGGTCTCTGGGGGTCTCTGTGAGTCTCTGTGGGTCTGTGTGGGTCTCTGTGGGTTTCTATGCATCTCTATGCATCTCTGTGGGTCTCTGTGGGTCTCTGTGGGTCTCTGTGTGTCTCTGCGAGTCTCTGTGGGTCTCTGTAGGTCTCTGTGGGTCTCTGTGTGTCTCTGTGGGTCTCTATGTGTCTCTGTGGGTCTCTATGTGTCTCTGTGGGTCTCTGTGGGTCTCTATGAATCTCTGTGGGTCTCTATGAATCTCTGTGGGTCTCTATTCATCTCTGTGGGTCTTTGTTTGTCTCTGTGGGTCTCTGTGGGTCTCTGTGTGTCTCTGTGGGTCTCTGTGTGTCTCTGTGGGTCTCTGTGGGTCTCTGTGGGTCTCTGTGGGTCTCTGTGAGTCTCTATGGGTCTCTGTGGGTCTCTGTGGGTCTCTGTGAGTCTCTATGGGTCTCTGGGGGTCTCTGTGAGTCTCTGTGGGTCTGTGTGGGTCTCTGTGGGTTTCTATGCATCTCTATGCATCTCTGTGGGTCTCTGTGGGTCTCTGTGGGTCTCTGTGGGTCTCTGTGAGTCTCTATGGGTCTCTGGGGGTCTCTGTGAGTCTCTGTGGGTCTGTGTGGGTCTCTGTGGGTTTCTATGCATCTCTATTCATCTCTGTGGGTGTCTATGTGTCTCTGTGGGTCTCTGTGGGTCTCTGTGTGTCTCTATGCATCTCTATTCATCTCTATGCATCTCTATGCATCTCTGTGGGTCTCTATGTGTCTCTATTCATCTCCGTGTGTCTCCGTGCGTCTGGCTCACCGCGTCAGCGTGCTCCGTCTGAGCCGCTGGTGGCGACTGCTGCCCCTGCTGCTGCTGCTCTTGTAGCTGCTGCTGCTGCTGCTGCTGCTGCTCTTGAAGCTGCTGCTGCTCCTGCTGCTGCTGCTGCTGCTGCTGCTGCAGGCTGCGGTGCTGCTGCTGCAGGCTGCGGAGGGCGGTCTCGGCGCTGCGCTTGTCCTCCTGCAGGCGCTCTGCCTCCTGCTCACGGGCCCTTGACTCCTCCTTCACCTTGAGCAGTTGCTGCGGGGGGGGGGGGCGCGGGGCGTGGAAGCACGACAAGGGGAGTGTTGGGGGAGTGTTGTTGTTGTGATGTGGTGTGTGTGTGAGTGTGTGGGTGTGTGTGGTGGGTGAGTGTGTGGGTGAGTGTGGTGTGTGTGTGTGAGTGTGTGTGTGAGTGAGTGAGTGTGTGGGTGTGGTGTGTGGTGTGTGAGTGTGTAATGTGGTGTGTGTGAGTGAGTGTGGTGTGTGAGTGTGTGATGTGGTGTGTGTGAGTGTGAGGGTGTGTGTGAGTGTGTGATGTGGTGTGAGTATGTGAGTGTGAGTGTGTGTGAGTGTGGTGTGTGAGTGTGTGATGTGGTGTGTGTGAGTGAGTGTGTGGGTGTGTGTGGTGTGTGTGAGTGTGTGGGTGGTGTGTGTGTGTGATGTGGTGTGTGTGAGTGAGTGTGTGGGTGTGTGTGGTGTGTGTGAGTGTGTGGGTGGTGTGTGTGTGTGATGTGGTGTGTGTGAGTGAGTGTGTGGGTTTGTGTGATGTGGTGTGTGTGAGTGTGAGTGAGTGTGTGTGTGAGTGTGTGTGGTGTGAGTGAGTGTGTGTGTGTGTGAGTGTGTGTGTGTGAGTGAGTGTGTGTGTGTGAGTGTGTGGGTGTGTGTGAGTGTGGTGTGTGAGTGTGTGATGTGGTGTGAGTGTGAGTGAGTGTGTTGTGTGTGAGTGAGTATGTGTGTGTGAGTGTGGTGTGGTGTGTGTGAGTGAGTGTGTGGGTGTGTGAGTGTGGTGTGTGTGAGTGTGTGATGTGGTGTGTGGGAGTGAGTGTGTAGGTGTGAGTGTGGTGTGTGAGTGTGTGAGTGAGTGTGTGGGTGTGTGTGAGTGAGTGTGTGGGTGTGTGTGATGTGGTGTGTGTGAGTGTGTTGTGATGTGGTGTGTGTGTGTGAGTGTGTGGGTGTGTGTGAGTGTGGTGTGTGAGTGTGTGATGTGGTGTGTGTGTGTGAGTGTGATGTGGTGTGTGTGAGTGAGTGTGTGAGCGAGAGTGAGTGTGCGATGTGGTGTGTGTGAGTGAGTGTGTGGGTGTGTGTGAGTGTGGTGTGTGAGTGTGTGATGTGGTGTGTGTGTGTGATGTGGTGTGTGTGAGTGAGTGTGTGAGCGAGAGTGAGTGTGTGATGTGGTGTGTGTGAGTGAGTGTGTGGGTGTGTGTGAGTGTGTGTGTGTGAGTGTGAGTGTGTGATGTGGTGTGTGTGAGTGAGTGTGTGGGTGTGTGTGGGTGTGAGTGAGTGTGTGTGTGTGTGTGAGTGTGATGTGGTGTGTGTGAGTGAGTGTGTGAGCGAGAGTGAGTGAGTGTGAGTGTGTGATGTGGTGTGTGTGAGTGAGTGAGTGAGTGTGATGTGGTGTGAGTGAGTATGTGAGTGTGTGATGTGGTGTGTGTGAGTGAGTGTGTGAGCGAGAGTGAGTGTGTGATGTGGTGTGGTGTGGGTGTGAGTGAGCGAGTGTGTGTGTGTGAGTGTGAGTGAGTGTGGTGTAGGTGTGTGTGAGTGTGTGTGTGAGCGAGAGAGTGAGTGCGAGTCTGTGAGTGTGTGTGAGTATGGTGTGTGTGAGTGTGTGAGTGTGGGTGAGCGAGTGAGTGTGAATGAGTGTGAGTGAGCGAGTGTGATGTGGTGTGGGTGTGTGTGAGTGTGGTGTGTGTGAGTGTGGTGTAGTGTGTGTGTGAGTGTGAGTGAGTGTGAGTGAGTGAGCGAGTGAGTGTGAATGAGTGTGAGAGTGAGCAAGTGAGTGTTGTGTGTGTGAGTGTGTGAGCGAGTGTGATGTGGTGTGGTGTGTGTGAGTGTGGTGTGTGTGTGAGTGTGGTGTAGTGTGTGTGTGAGTGTGAGTGTGTGTGAGTGAGTGTGTGTGAGTGTGGTGTGCGTGTGTGTGAGTGTGGTGTGTGTGAGTGTGAGTGAGTGTGATGTGGTGTGTGTGAGTGTTGTGTGAGTGAGTGTGATGTGGTCTGAGTGTGAGTGAGTGTGAGTGTGTGTGTGAGTGAGCGAGTGTGATGTGGTGTGGGTGTGTGTGAGTGAGTGAGTGTGATGTGGTGTGGTGTGGGTGTGTGTGTGTGAGTGTGTGAGTGAGTAAGTGTGATGTGGTGTGGGTGTGTGTGTGAGTGTGGTGTGTGTGAGTGTGTGAGTGTTTGAGTGAGTGTGTGTGAGTGTGTGAGTGTGGTGTGTGTGAGTGTGTGAGTGTGGTGTGTGTGAGGGTGTGAGTGTGTGAATGTGGTGTGAGTGTGTCAGTGTGGTGTGTGTGAGTGTATGAGTGTGGTGTGGGTGTGTGTGAGTGAGCGAGTGAGCGAGATTGAGAGTGAGTGTGTGAGTGAGCGAGTGTGATGTGGTGTGGGTGTGTGTGAGCGAGAGTGAGTGTGAGTGAGTGTGTGAGAGTGGTGTGGTGTGTGTGTGTGAGTGAGCGAGTGTGATGTGGTGTGGGTGTGTGCGAGTGTGAGTGAGTGTGTGTGAGTGTGGTGTGTGTGAGTGTGTGAGAGGGTGAGTGTGGTGTGGGTGTGTAAGCGTGTGAGTGTGTGTGTGAGTGTGTGAGTGTGTGTGAGTGTGGTGTGTGTGAGTGTGTAAGTGTATGTGTGAGCGAGAGTGAGTGTTGTGTGAGTGTGTGAGTGAGCGAGTGTGATGTGGGGTGGGTGTGTGTGAGTGTATATGAGTGTGTGTGAATGAGTGTGTGAGTGTGTGAGCGAGTGAGTGTGAGTGAGTGTGAATGAGAGTGAGTGTTGTGTGAGTGTGTGAGTGAGCGAGTGTGATGTGGTGTGGGTGTGTGTGAGTGTATGTGAGTGTGTGTGAATGAGTGTGTGAGTGTGTGAGCGAGTGAGTGTGAATGAGAGTGTGAGTGAGCGGGTGTGATGTGGGTGTGGTGTGAGTGAGCGAGTGAGTGTGAATGAGAGTGTGAGTGAGCGAGTGTGGTTTGTGTGAGTGAGTGTGAGCGAGTGTGAATGAGAGTGTGAGTGAGCGAATGTGAGTGTGGTGTGTGTGAGTCTGAGTGTGAGCGAGTGAGTGTGAGCGAGTGAGTGTGAGCGAGTGTGAATGAGAGTGTGAGTGAGCGAGTGTGGTGTGGGTGGGTGTGGTGTGAGTGTGTGAGTGAACGAGTGAGCGAGTGTGGTGTGGGTGTAATCTGAGTGTGTGAGTGAGCGAGTGTGGTGTGGGTGTGGTGTGAGTGTGTGAGTGAACGAGTGAGTGTGGTGTGTGTGTGGTGTGAGTGTGTGAGTGAGCGAGTGTGAGTGTGTGAGTGAACGAGTGAGCGAGTGTGATGTGGGTGTGGTGTGAGTGTGTGAGTGAGCGAGTGTAGTGTGGGTGTGGTGTGAGTGTGTGAGTGAACGAGTGAGCGAGTGTGGTGTGGGTGTGGTGTGAGTGTGTGAGTGAACGAGTGTAAGTGTGGGTGTGGTGTGAGTGTGTGAGTGTGAGTGAGTGTGAATGAGAGTGTGAGTGTGGTGTGTGTGAGTGTGTGAGCGAGTGAGTGTGAGCGAGTGTGAATGAGAGTGTGAGTGAGCGAGTGTTGTGTGGTGTGGGCGAGTGAGCGAGTGTGAGTATGGTGTGGGTGTGGTGTGAGTGTGTGAGTGTATGAGTGAACGAGTGAGCGAGTGTGGTGTGGGTGTGGTGTGAGTGTGTGAGTGTGAGTGAGTGAGTGTGAATGAGAGTGTGAGTGTAAGCGAGTGAGTGTGAGTGGGTGTGGTGTGAGTGTGTGAGTGAACGAGTGAGTGAGTGTGGTGTGGGTGTGGTGTGAGTGTGAGTGAGTCAGTGTGAATGAGAGTGTGAGTGTGAGCGAGTGAGTGTGAGTGGGTGTGGTGTGAGTGTGTGAGTGAACGAGTGTGAGTGTGCGTGCGGTGTGAGTGTGTGAGTGAACGAGTGAGCGAGTGTGGTGTGTGTGTGTGAGTGAACGAGTGTGATGTGTGTGTGGTGTGTGTGTGAACGAGTGAGCGAG